AGAGTGTGGGATTCCCTGGAACTAGAGTTACAACATATTTGAATTGCCCAAAGAGGGTGCTGGGGATTGAACCCAGGTCCTCTGGAACTGAAGCAAGTGCTCTTAACTGCTGAGATCCTCTCCAGTCCCACCTCCATTCTGCTGTTTTTAGTTACAGCCTGAAGTTTCCTAAAAGGCAAATCTGATCCAGTAAGTTCCCTCTTTCAAACCATTCAGCGGTGTCCCATTTTTCTTGGGATCAAGAGCAAACTCTTTAACTAGACATAAAATGCCCTTAACATTTGGCTGCTGCTAGTCGTTATTCTTTTCAATATTGGGGTTTAAACCCAGGGCCTCATACACAGGCAAGTGCCCAAGCCTGTGATGTACTTGAACTCACTTTAGTCTAGGCAATCCTTGAATTTGTGACCCTCTTACCTTGGTCTCCTGAGTAGCTGGGATTACAAACCTCCAGACAGCCGGTGAAATCGGCTCAACGTTATTCCAGATTATAAGGAAAATACTTGGGGGACAAATCCTAATTCGCATTCAGTGGCAATGGTCCCATTATAAGGTTTCCTATGTGGCAGTGGGGTCCTATAGCACAGCTCCTAGCGCAGGTCTCAGTTATCCTCACGGGCAGCAGGGGAGGCTTCCAGCAGGAATCTCTGCCAAGGGTCACCCTAGAGATAAATCAGGTATCTGGTTTCAGATAAGGTCAGTCCTCCAGGCCCAGGGACATTCTGCAGATAAGGGGAGGTAGCAAGCAGGAAGTTTCACTGGGGATGGAGGGAGTCTTCTTGTCAGAGCTTTTGGAAAAAGCTGCCAGGCCGATAGACTGCAACCTCTGACTAGCCAGCAAGGCCTTCCAACGTTAGCTCTGCAGTACAATTTGAGGTCAGCGATGGTGATAACTCCAGTAGTTTCATTATTTTTGTTTTAGCTATAGTATATGTGTGTGTCTCCTTTTTTTTTTTTTTTTTTTTTTTTTTTTTTGGTTTTTCGAGACAGGGTTTCTCTGTGGTTTTGGAGTCTGTCCTGGAACTAGCTCTTGTAGACCAGGCTGGACTCGAACTCACAGAGATCCGCCTGCCTCTGCCTCCCGAGTGCTGGGATTAAAGGCGTGCACCACCACCGCCTGGCTATGTGTGTGTTTCCATATGAAGCTGAGAACTGGTCTTTCAAGAGCTGTGAAGAATTATGTTGGAATTTTGATGGGGATTGCTTTGAATCCATAGGTTGTTTTTGGTAGGATGGTCAATTTTACTGTTTTAATCATAAAAAAAATTGTAGCACAGGCTGACCTTGACCCTCCTGCATCCATGTCTTTTAGCAAATCCTGCTGCTGTGCAGCACCACTATCTAAATAGAATTCTCAAAGAAACACAAATGGCTGAAAAACATTTAAGGAAATGTTTAACATCCTTAGTCATCAGGGAATGTGAATCAAAAGCACTTTAATTTCATCTTACACCCATCAGAACGGCTAAGATCAACAACAAAAGTGAGCAGCTCATTCTAGATCTGGAGTAAAGGATACTCCCTCCATCTCTGGTGGAAGTGCAAACTTGCACAGCACTATGGAAATCAGTGTTGCAGTTCTTCAAGAAGATGGGAATTGGTCTGACTTAAAATCCAGCTACACGACTTTTGGGTATATAGCCAAAGGAAGCTTCATCCTACTATAGAGACACTTGCTTAACCATGTTCATTGCTGGTCTGTTAATAATAGCCAGAAACTGGAAACAATCTAGATGTCCCTCAACAGAAGAATGGGCAGAGAAAATAGCACATTCACACAAGGGAATATTACTCAGTTGTTAAAAAAAAAATGAAATCAGAAATTTGCAGGTAACTGGGTGGAATTAGAAAAAAATCCCCGTGAGGTCAGCCAGATTCTGGAAGACAAATATGCTATGGATTTGCTTATTTGTGGATATTAGCGGTTAAATAAATGACAAACAAGCTATTATCCATAGAACCACAGAAATTAGGTATAAAGTCAGGGACTTGGGCGTGATGCAGATAAATCTCCCTAGAAAGAGAGAATGGGATAATTACAAAAAGTTATGGATATGATAGATAGGGGACAGGAAAAAGAGGGTCAAGTAGGGTCAATCTCTATTGGGAGGGAAGAGGAGGACAAGGGAAGGAATACAGGAAGAGACATAAAATTAAGGACCATTTGAGGGGTAGTATGAAAACTGAATACAATAGCTTTCTGAAATACATACACACATGGAGCTGATTTGAATGAAATTGCCTTCATTTGAATGAAGGAGACAGAGCCCCAACTATCACCAAATGAAGCTTTCAATACTTAGATTGAGTTACATCTACTCAAGCTCTTGGCCAAAGGTGCCCCATGGGAATCCTCAAACAACCCAAGCTGTTGCCAAGTCTATAGGTTGCTCTCCATAAACTGACAGCAAGGCTCCATTGCTGAAGACAACACCCAGACAACTCACTCAACATGGAGAAGCCAAGCTGGAGCCTACGTAGACCTTTCACCCTTACAGGACAACAACTTTGGTACAGGAAGGTACTCTGCATGCTAGCCACAAATCCTTTGTTCTACAGAGGTGTCCTGCATGCAAGACGGCAATGGAGGTACAAAGCTTGTGGAGTAACCAGCATCTGATTTGACTAAAGATCCATGCCATGAAATGGAGCCTATACCTTGGGTGACCAAGAATCTGAGGATATTCCAAGGACCTAAGTTAAAGCCAAATACTACAGTTTTAAAAAAAAAGTGGCAATAAAATGACTCTTAATGATAGTCTGCTGTACGCAGATCATTGCTTTGCTCAAACATCATCAGAGAAGCTTCCTCCTTCAGCAGATGGGATCAAGTACAGAGACCCACAGCCAGACAAGCAGACCTTGGAATACTCAGCCCTAAATTTGATCTTCCATCAAATGTCTCCCCTTAGGGCTCTGGAACCCTGTGGAAAGGGAGGCAGAAAGAGTGCAGGAGCCAGAGGAAAAAGAGGACACCAAGAATAAAAGGTCCTCTAACCACAATTGGGCTGACACACATATGAAACCAGAACCTGAGGCAGTATGCACAGGGCCCGCATGGGTCTGCACCAGATGGGGGCCTAGAACTAACACAGCACATGCCCCCATCCCTAACCCAGAAGCAATCTCCGATTGATAGTCACTTGCATATAAAAAATTAGTTTTCTCCAACGGAGTTTCACTGGGGAAATAAACCACTCTTAAGGGTAGGCTGCAAGCCAAGCAGTGGATGGCTAACCAAAAATGAACTCAACGTCGTCTTTGGAGGTTCCTTGTCTCATAATGTCGTTAGGGCTCTTCCTTTTTTTTTCCAATTTTTAAAATTTTATGGATACATAAAATCTTGAGTATGCAAACGAGTGGGTCCGTGTCTATATCTGTTTCTTGTGCCTTTTCTTGGGCTCTTTCCCTTCTGTTGTTTTATCCTATTCTAATGTGTTACTTTTATTTTATTGTATTATTATCCCTTAGAAACCTGTTTGTTTCCTAATGAAGAGACTCAAATGGTATTGAAGAGGGGAAGTGGGAGGAACTGGGAGAAGAGGGGAATCCATAATTAGGAGATATTATGTAAAAATCTACTTTCAATAAAAGGAAATATTTAAATGTATTTGTGTATGGGTACATGGACACTGTGGGGAGGGAGAGACAATATGGGGTACATGTGGAGGCCAGAGGTCAGTTTTCTCCCTCTAACATGTGGGGTCTGGGGTTCAGGTCATCATGACAAGCAGCAGGTGCAGGAGTCCTGATTTGACTCTTTTTTTATGGCTGAAGAGAGCCCATCATGGAGAAGGCACAGCTGCTGCAGCACGAGGCTCTGGTCAAGTGCATCCAGTCAGAAGGCAGACGGTGATGATGTCTGTACCTCTAGAGGCTAACTTCACGACAACTCCTTTCTATGAAGATCTAGGACCTCGGCTCATGGAATGGTAACGCTCACATGCAGGGTGAATTTTCCCACCTTATGAATTAATCTAGATAATTACTCTCAAGGCATGCTCACAGGCCTGTCTCACAGTTGATTCTAGATCCTGTCAAGTTGATTAGTGAAGTTAACAACCAATGTACGCACCACACTTTCTTATCCATCCATCTGGTGATGGAGGTCTAGGCTGGTTCCTTATCTTGGTCACTGTGAATAGTACTCAATGAAAATAGTCAGTGAGGTCTGATTTTACAGAGGCCATCATGCTTTACGTGCGTACACAAATCACACAGAGGCACCTACATGACATTCCTCCACTGTTCTCACTTTATGGTACCTATGTGCGATCCTCCTGCTCCAGCCTCCCCAGTGCTGGGATCACAGTTGGGAACCACCACGCCTGGCACTTGTCAAGGGTTTTCATTGTTATGTATAGAATTAAAAGTAGATATTGATTTTTATCACGATTTCCCTCTCACTTCTTCTATTAATATGGTAAAGCATAATGCATTAAAAAGAACTGCTATATCCTAACTTTAAAATGGAGATATTCTTACATTCCTGGACTAAGCTTCGCAATGCTCATGACTTGTTCGCTGCTAATGTTTGCTCTCAGCAATGCTCTTCATTCTTTTTCTTTTTTCAGTTAATTGCACTATGTCTTGGTCCTCACATCAATACAACATAAATGCAGATTTACAAAAATGACAATTTCAACTCAGCCTGGTGAACTTGTTATTAAAAATGAATTATTCCAAAGCTTTTCTTTTCGAGTCAAATGCTTTGAACTGTATACCATTAGGAAAGTCACTATTAGGTACTGAGGAGTTTCTAACAAAAACAAGGCATCTAATTGCTGCTTGAAGGCAGCAAGTGAAGGGGACAAGTAACCTCGTGTGAGTGTCTCTTCTGCTTCTACAAGGTCAGCAGTCTTTTAGGAAGAACTTTAACTCAACAAATACATAAAAGAGAGGTTAAAAAAAATCAATCAGATAAAAGTGACCCCCATAATAGGGTTTAAAATCTTCAAAATAACTTTTTTTCAGATAGTAAAATACAAAATCCATATGTATCAAGTAGAAAAACATTAGTTTATTTATCTTCAATATCTTAAAATACTGAAACATCTTACTTTGGTATACTTACTATGGTTTATTATTCACAAAAAGGATAAAAAAGCTTTTTATCTTAAAGTATATCTAAATGAACTGAACTGCCAGTCTTTAGAAAGCGCCTCACTGGATTTTCTTTGCCACTGTTATGGTCTGAGATAAAGCTGTTTTCCAGACTGCTGGTTCTACTTTAGTGAAAACATCCACTCAGCACAAGTTTACTTCCACTGTGAGAGAAGAGCTGTGACAGGAGGAGGAGGCTGATGGAGACCGCGCCCTCATCACCCCTCACATTTAGCTTTCTTGCTAGCTGGAAGAGAATCATCATCCACTTCTGATGGCCGGGGTTTCTTCACTGTAGAAATAATTCCAAAAGCAGTTTTTCTAGTTTCTGTAAAATAGAAATGACAGGATCTTACTACGTAGCCTAGGCTGGTCTTAAACTCCTTCTATAGTCCAACTCCTTCTATATGATCCTCCTGCCTTAGCCTCCTGAGAGCTGGGATTACAGGCATGCATCACCACACCCGGTGTAAGATACAATTTAAGGAGAAGTGGTTTAACCAGCACTAACCCATTTCTTTGGCCTACAGCACAGTAAATAAGAAAACCACAGAGAGCACTTACAAGTGCTGATGCCATTTATAATCACTTTTCCCAACATGCACAAAGAGCAGCATTTCAGCATCTGGGCCATTCCTAAGGATTACCTCCTAGGTTAAACTGCAGAGCAGGGCTGCTTCTCCAGTGCTCTCCCCATGGCATCCTATGCAGTCAGAACCAGCCATAGGCACCGGTCTAGCGACTGCTTTATGTATGGTAGAAAGACGGACAAATCACAAGCACAGATGTAGGAGTCACGTGTACTGCTCCCACAGCGAGGGCTGTGCTGAGCTCATTTTATAGCACATGCCACCACTCTCGTAAATCATAAAATCCCTCTGAACATGTGCGGCATTGACTACCAATGGCCTGCTAGCCAACACTGATCTAACAAATGCTTGCTGAGCAAACTATAAAATCACACTCAGGTTTATCAATCCTTTATGCACTGTTAAAGAGGAATTACTTTACATGCTCAGGTCAGTTTGGCAGCAGAGTTGAACTTAAATTTGGTCAACCTGCCTTAAAAACATGCTAAGAGACCAGACACTGTTATATAACGATTCCCAACAGTGATTTTTTAACTGTTCCAAATGTTGGGATTAGTACCCTAAAAATACACATAGTAGGAATGAAGGCACACAGGAGAATCAACGGCCTGGATGAACTAACGAAACGCCAGTGACACGACTAGAAAGAGCACAGCCAGGAAACAGGAGGAAAAGCAGCCTCTGCAGGGAAACAGGAGGAAAAGCAGCCTCTGCAGGGAAACAGGAGGAAAAGCAGCCTCTGCAGGGAAACAGGAGGAAAAGCAGCCTTTGCAGGGAAACAGGAGGAAAAGCAGCCTCTGCAGGGAAACAGGAGGAAAAGCAGCCTTTGCAGGGAAACAGGAGGAAAAGCAGCCTCTGCAGGGAAACAGGAGGAAAAGCAGCCTCTGCAGGGAAACAGGAGGAAAAGCAGCCTCTGCAGGGAAACAGGAGGAAAAGCAGCCTTTGCAGGGAAACAGGAGGAAAAGCAGCCTCTGCAGGGAAACAGGAGGAAAAGCAGCCTTTGCAGGGAAACAGGAGGAAAAGCAGCCTCTGCAGGGAAACAGGAGGAAAAGCAGCCTTTGCAGGGAAACAGGAGGAAAAGCAGCCTCTGCAGGGAAACAGGAGGAAAAGCAGCCTTTGCAGGGAAACAGGAGGAAAAGCAGCCTCTGCAGGGAAACAGGAGGAAAAGCAGCCTCTGCAGGGAAACAGGAGGAAAAGCAGCTTTTGCAGGGAAACAGGAGGAAAAGCAGCCTCTGCAGGGAAACAGGAGGAAAAGCAGCCTTTGCAGGGAAACAGGAGGAAAAGCAGCCTCTGCAGGGAAACAGGAGGAAAAGCAGCCTTTGCAGGGAAACAGGAGGAAAAGCAGCCTTTGCAGGGAAACAGGAGGAAAAGCAGCCTTTGCAGGGAAACAGGAGGAAAAGCAGCCTTTGCAGGGAAACAGGAGGAAAAGCAGCCTTTGCAGGGAAACAGGAGGAAAAGCAGCCTTTGCAGGGAAACAGGAGGAAAAGCAGCCTTTGCAGGGAAACAGGAGGAAAAGCAGCCTTTGCAGGGAAACAGGAGGAAAAGCAGCCTTTGCAGGGAAACAGGAGGAAAAGCAGCCTTTGCAGGGAAACAGGAGGAAAAGCAGCCTTTGCAGGGAAACAGGAGGAAAAGCAGCCTTTGCAGGGAAACAGGAGGAAAAGCAGCCTTTGCAGGGAAACAGGAGGAAAAGCAGCCTTTGCAGGGAAACAGGAGGAAAAGCAGCCTTTGCAGGGAAACAGGAGGAAAAGCAGCCTCTGCAGGGAAACAGGAGGAAAAGCAGCCTCTGCAGGGAAACAGGAGGAAAAACAGCCTCTGCAGGGAAACAGGAGGAAAAGCAGCCTTTGCAGGGAAACAGGAGGAAAAGCAGCCTCTGCAGGGAAACAGGAGGAAAAGCAGCCTTTGCAGGGAAACAGGAGGAAAAGCAGCCTTTGCAGGGAAACAGGAGGAAAAGCAGCCTTTGCAGGGAAACAGGAGGAAAAGCAGCCTTTGCAGGGAAACAGGAGGAAAAGCAGCCTTTGCAGGGAAACAGGAGGAAAAGCAGCCTTTGCAGGGAAACAGGAGGAAAAGCAGCCTTTGCAGGGAAACAGGAGGAAAAGCAGCCTTTGCAGGGAAACAGGAGGAAAAGCAGCCTTTGCAGGGAAACAGGAGGAAAAGCAGCCTTTGCAGGGAAACAGGAGGAAAAGCAGCCTTTGCAGGGAAACAGGAGGAAAAGCAGCCTTTGCAGGGAAACAGGAGGAAAAGCAGCCTTTGCAGGGAAACAGGAGGAAAAGCAGCCTTTGCAGGGAAACAGGAGGAAAAGCAGCCTTTGCAGGGAAACAGGAGGAAAAGCAGCCTCTGCAGGGAAACAGGAGGAAAAGCAGCCTCTGCAGGGAAACAGGAGGAAAAACAGCCTCTGCAGGGAAACAGGAGGAAAAGCAGCCTTTGCAGGGAAACAGGAGGAAAAGCAGCCTTTGCAGGGAAACAGGAGGAAAAGCAGCCTCTGCAGGGAAACTGGAGGAAAAACAGCCTCTGCAGGGAAATGAGGGCTCTGCCTCACTTGTGGGCCTTCCATTTTACAAGGGTACATAAATCATACATGTGCAGATCACATGGAAGTAGAAGTCCAGGAATCTAAGGAAACTGTCTAAGGAACACAGGGGACCAATGTGGGGCCCAACGAGGATACGCACAAAGGGACCAATGTGGGTTACTGGAGGAGACTATGAACAAAGAGGACTAAGGGGGGGTGAGCAAAGGAGACTAATAGCTATGTATGTGTGTGTGTCTGTGTGTGTGTCTGTGTTGGTGGTGAGTAATATGCACAAAAGGGACTAACGGGGTGAAAAAAAAGAGGGTAGAGGGGCATGGGGGGAAGAATATGTTCAAAGTACATGTTATTATAGTTACAAGGAAATGGCCTTATGTAACTTAGTATAATATATTCAAATAAGCAATAAAACAAAATAAAGTAAAACAAAAGCAAAAAACATCTTGGGGGAAAAAACACCCCAAATATATACTCAGTAGATACATGCTCATGTAAACCAAAACAAGAAACGAAGCACCCTGAGTTATAATAAAAGCAAAAGTTACAGACTGACTTTAGATAGTCTGATTCACACAATTTTTTTAAAAAAAATCTGTTTGTTTTTCTTCTCAATGGTTTAGCATGCTTCTTTTGTTTTTCTATTCCTGTTACAAAATACCCTTATAAGAGCAACTTAGAGAGTAATAGGCTTGTCAGCCCACAGTTCAAGGGTAGAGTTCGTCATGGCGGGAACTCAGGGAGACAGGAGCTGGAAGTGGCTGGTCAAACCATCTTCACAGTCAAGGAGAAGGCTGTCAACACTGGTGCTCAGCTTGCTTCCTCCACTTCATCCAATCGGGAACCCCACCCAGGGGTCTTTCTCACACACATTAACCCAATCTTACGTTCTCAGGGGGCTAACCGTTAGCAGGTGAGTCTGAAGCCAGGTGCTTTTAGATCCTGTCAAACTAACACCACTATTCCCATTTCTGTTTCTGAAACTCATTATTGTTAGCAGGGAGCAAGCTCATCCAGAGAGAAGCAAGCAGGATGGATGTTAAAAACCTGTGAAGATGTAGGCAGGGGACACTGTGTTGTTTGAAAGAACACATTTACTGTTTACTCCTGCAAAGTAAACCCTACAATGCATACACTATAGAAAGTAAAGTGTAATGTCTAACGGGAGGGCAAGGAGCAGAGTGCATGGTTAGAACTGGCTGAGAAAAGATGGTCTTGGAGTACTCTGCAGAAAGGACAATAAAAGCAGATGTGTCAATTGCTTGTTAGTGACCTGACTCTAACATGACCTTGCTCACCTCCATGGAGAAACGCAGCTCGGCAATTTGTGGACACAGCAGCCTTGGCTTCGCTCTCAGACAGCCCAAACAGCAGCCCTCTGATAAGTTATTAAAGATTTCAACCCAGAGTTGGCAAGGATATGAGCCAACACAAACACAAATGAAAATGACAGCTCACCCGGTCAGCAGCACACACACTAATTCTACGGCAGGTCTTACCCAACGGAAACCTACAGCTGAGAGTCCCATTTAACTGTCTTTGTCACACAGCGAGAGCCCCTTGTTTCTCAGTTCTGCTGTTTAATTCAAAACCAGAAGGATGAGGAAGTTTACAGCCTGCTGTAATCTGCTTCTGAGGCGACTGATCAGTAAATTACAACTAAAGGGTAAGAAAACATCAGGCTAAACTTTAATACCACTTTTGATTCAATTTTCTAAGGGAAAATTCCAGTCCAGTGTGATGGCTCAGCAGGTAAAGGCACCTGCTGCCAACTCTGATGATCTGAGTTTGATGCTCAGGACCCACAAGATGGGAGGGAAATGAGTCTTGAAAGTTCCCTACTTGACACATGCATCTCTCCACCTAATACCAACTGCTTTTATGCTTAAAAAGAACACTAAGAGGATACAAGTTTGCCACATCATACGGTCCTCTTATTTCCAAAGGCTAAAAGAAGAAAAATGGAAAATAAAATGTTATTAACATTTTAACTATTTACAATAAATAAGATATAACTAAGTATCCAAAAATAGGTAAACTTCATAAGGTTCTTATAAATTGTGATAGGTTTCTAAAAATATAAACAAATCATGAAAAGCATTTTTAACAAGGTAAAGGGAAAAAAATAAACTCATTTTCTTCTAATTAATGTACAAATATAAGTATATATAGGCAAAACCTGAAGCCCAATGAATAGGATACATTTTAGCAATGGCAGCCGGGCAATGGTGGGGCACGCCTTTAATCCCAGCACTTGGGAGGCAGAGGCAGGCAGATCTCTGTGAGTTCGAGACCAGCCTGGTCTACAGAGCGAGTTCCAGGACAGGCTCCAAAGCCACAGAGAAACCCTGTCTCGAAAAACCAAAAAAAAAAAAAAAAAAAAAAAAAAAAAGATACACATTTTAGCAATGGCTATGGGCAAATGCAGTTAAAGACAGGCAATACATGACACTGCTATTTCAGTTCTAAAAACACAGTAAAGCTTTACAACTACAGAGACAAAGCACTACAGGCCATACTTACCTTCTCTGCAGCACTGGACAGAATTACATTCTATAAAAAAGAAAGTGTGCAACATTAATCTTACAACTGATAAAATAATTCAAGAACTGCATAATGCAATTGACCAGCAACCCCTCTTTGGCACTGAAGGCTCAAATACCAACTTCTTTTAAAGGTAAATAATTCATGTGCAAATACTGAAAACTCTCATACCCAAGGCAGCCAAAACAATAGGCAGAATAAGCTTCATAAACAAATCCTATTTGTGCAGATGAATGAAGTTTAAAAGCTGGATCTTTAATTCACTAGGAGATAACAACCATTATCTAGAGGAGGCTTTTCATTGTGGCAAACTGCAAATTCCTCATGAAAAATAAAGGCATTCCAAATATGTTACTTCTCCCTTGGGAGGCTTTTTGTTTTGGTTTGGTTTTTCAAGATAAGAGTCAAGCCCGGAACTCACTAGGTAGACCATGCTGGCCTTGAACCTACAGAGATCTGCCTGCCTCCGCCTCCCAAATACTTTTGCCACCACTGCCCTGCTTCCCTTGGCAGTTTTTACAAGGCCCTGTAATATTCACTGAAACGGAGCAAATTCAGCCTCAGGAAGAGCTGACAGCACCAGCACATCACTAGTAACCGCAGAAGTAAAAGTGTCCTTGGCTCGGCGACTGTACCTTTCCTCTGCAGATCTGCATCAAACTGAGGGCGTTGGAAATTGTGTACCTTCTCATCGTGGCGTCTCTGATAGCAGGGCCATAGACAAGCTCAAAGCCCAGACCCCGGTCAATTGCCTTCAGCAGAAATAAAGAAGACACATAGAAACTGTCAAAGAGAAGCACATTAACGAGTCCCTCCCACCTTCTTTCCCCTATGCACATCTCCTATACAGCAAGGGACTGGCTTACACAGGGGGGTGGACCCCACACCTCTGCACTCCAACCCAAAGTGAGGAAAACAGACACAAAACTCTATCTGATTGACAGAGCTGATGTTAGTTTCAGAAAGCTAACCGCACAAACAGGAAGTACAGAGGCCGAGGACAGCAAAGTCAGTTCAGGGCAGAGGTGCAGAGGGCTACTATTCCATGAACGGTGCAAGGAAAAGGATGTGCTTCCCACAGGCAGGGAAACTGAGCAACTTGACCCAAGAATGAAGGAAAAAGAGGAGAGGATCTGAAGGGTCTGGTGAGCAGGAATGGGAACCTTACAGCTAAGTCACTTACTGCATACTACTGAATAGCAAAACAACCGCCATGGCTGGCTAAACACTATGTCCGAGGAAATGCACTAAGAACTGTGGCTGGTACATGTCCCAGCCCATTCTGCTTAAGTAACATTGTTTAAGGTCACTGTAGCTCAGGAAAAACGGTGAAAGAGATCTGGGCCCTTCAGGACTTGCCTAGCTTGCTATATGGGCCTGGTCTTTTCATGAGGGAAAAAGTTCTTTCTCATTCTAAGGTTGGAAAGTCTACAAGGCATAGGCGTGGGACTGAAATTCTCCAATACGTAATGCAGCTTCCCAGCCAAAGACTACAGTGACTGTCCGTTCATAACAGATGTGTTCACACCAGTCACTACTGTCAAAGGCTGCAGTGACTGTCCGTTCACAACAGATGTGTTCACACCAGTCACTACTGTCAAAGGCTGCAGTGACTGTCCGTTCACAATAGATGTGTTCACACCAGTCACTACTGTCAAAGGCTGCAGTGACTGTCCGTTCACAACAGATGTGTTCACACCAGTCACTACTGTCAAAGGCTGCAGTGACTGTCCGTTCACAACAGATGTGTTCACACCACTCACTACTGTCAAAGGCTGCAGTGACTGTCCGTTCATAACAGATGTGTTCACACCAGTCACTACTGTCAAAGGCTGCAGTGACTGTCCGTTCACAACAGATGTGTTCACACCACTCACTACTGTCAAAGGCTGCAAGACTGCCCTTCACAATAGATGTGTTCACACCACTCACTACTGTCAAAGGCTACAGTGACTGTTCACAACAGATGTGTTCACATCACTCACTACTGTCAAAAGCTACAGTGACTGCCCACTCACAACAGATGTGTTCACACCAGTCACTACTGTCAAAAGCTACAGTGACTGCCCACTCACAACAGATGTGTTCACACCACTCACTACTGTCAAAGGCTGCAGTGACTGTTCACAACAGATGTGTTCACACCACTCACTACTGTCAAAGGCTGCAGTGACTGTTCACAACAGATGTGTTCACACCACTCACTACTGTCAAGGGCTGCTGTGATTGTCCGTTCACAACCCGTGTTCACAAAACTCACTACCTGTCAAAGCAGAGACCTTCTCAGAGCTCTGGTGCATGCGAGCAAGGAGACGTTTGCAATGAAGAGAATTAAGCTATTTCTTTTGCTAACTCTAACTGGACAAAGGAGCCGGACTCCTGTTTCCCACCTTCTAGTAGCAGGGGTAGAGCATAGGGCAGTAGGATTAGGACAGGAATTAGGGACGTGAGCAATGTGGTGTGGGAGATCAGATCCCTGAGGGTTTCTAGCTGAGTCAATTTAAATTTTAAAGCTGTCTGGGAACCACAACAAAATAAAAACCCCTTTGAGGGAGAGCACTGGGGAAAATAGGATACAATTACCAGCTTAATTCCTTTCACATATGATTCTGGTCTTGGTACGTTAATCAGGTTCACTTTAAAATTGCTATGAACACTCTTTAGAAAGAAATTAAAGATAATGTGCTATTGAAGGCTGTATTTCTTTCATAAAACTTTACTGATTTAGATGAATAAAATGCAGTCATTACCTGGTCTCCTGCTCCTAAGAGCATTTTTATGTAAATTGTTGTAAGTGCATCATATGATTGTTCATAACAATGTCTTTACAGAGAGTGACAGCATCGGCCTGATTGCCTTTTGTTCTCATGTCTGAACAGAAGTGCCTGAATAGGCAGAGGATGAGAGATTTTTCTTACTAAGGGGAAATAATAGTCACAATGATGTCACCAAGGGCAGCCTGTGACAACTGGATCAGGAGATACTGATAAGAAGACTGCAAGCACTAAAAGCTGAAGTTAAGCTTTGGAGAAGGAAGAATGCAAACCAAGAGTTTGTTCCAGGGCAGCATGCTGATTGCTTGCCTTAAAATCAGTGCCTGCGCTGAACTCAGGGTAGATAGCCTTCCAGCGCATCATTCGGTAAGATTCCACCCTCTCCTGACTCACTGATCCAATCACAGAAGGAAGGAGCAAGTCCTCCTTGCATCTGCTCTTACTGCCCTATCCCCACTGCTGGAACTGCTTTCATGGATTTTTTTTATGCGCTCCTCCAGCTTCTTCACACAAATATAAGCAAGTGTGAATACACATCAGTTTCCTTTTCTTACTTAAAAGGTAGCCTGTTAAGTTATCTTGCCTGATTTGAAAGCTTCCCCATGTCCGCTTGTAAATTTAATTTTCTTTTACAGCTGCCTAGCATTTACTGTAGGGGTGCAACAGGTACAGCGCTTCATAAGCTTCTAACAGAAGTGGGCTGTTTCCAATTAGCTGCAGGATAAGCAAACACTAGAGTGGGTCAGCATATGTTACATTCCTAACCTGCAGGATCTCAGATCTCAGACTGTAACCGTTTATAGAGACAGCCAGTGCAGGTATAACCAAGATGAGGAGGTCATACTGAAAACAGTGGCTCCTAATCTCAATGGTGTTCTTATAAGATAGCTTACAAGACTCACAGGAAAGCTTGCTGATGACAAAGACAGAGAATGGCGCTACTGTGGCTGTAAGGCGCTAGCTGTCAACAAATCACCGCTGGCCTGGAAGACTCAAAAAAAAAAAAAAAGGCTCCCTTATTAATATCTGGAAGGAGTACAGCCTGCTCACACCTTGATTTCAGACTTGCAGTCATATGCATTTGGAATGTGTAAATGTCTCCCACGAGTCCATGTGCTTGACATTTGGTCCCCAGCTGGTGGCACAGTTCTGGGAAGTTGTGGAACCACAGACCACCCTGCCTCCTGTCCTGCACCTCCATGTAAGATGCTGCAGCTGCACTGCCGTCACCAGGCAGCTGCCGGCTGCCTGGCCTTCCCGACCATGAACTGCATCCCCACACACTGTGAGCAGACACACATGCTTTCTCCATGACACTGCCTCTGTCACATTTCAGCGATGACAACAACCGACACAAACCTGGAGGAAGGAAGAAATATCTTTTGGGGTAGCTACTGGGAAGAATGTCAGGACCGTGACCTTGTCCTTTCATTTCCTGGCCATCATGAAGCACGAATTGCTGTTTCATTAAATTTTAAAAGTGCGCATGGTGTGCACACACCAGTTTCTACCCTGACAGACTCAGTGTCTTGCTGTACACACCGATATAGTACAATTTTCCCCAAACAAAAATACAGGCACCTGGCTCTAGCTTTCTCTCTTTCTCGACGCTGAGTGAATAAATTAACAGGAACTTTCCTGCTTCCTGGCCAGCTCACACTGCAGACTTACACACCAGATGAAGACTACATGTAATCCTATGCAGCCTTCTGTCCACACCTCCATCTAGCTTTTATTAAGCAACATATGCAAAATGTTCATACGGTTGTGTCTGTGTAAAACAGACACTGTTAAATATTGCATATTCCTCCTGTCAATTTTTTTTTTAACTCTTCAGAATTTCTAAAGTGAAAATGTGGAAATCATGCCAAGAAGCATCAAACACTCAGCAACTTTTCTGCACTTCCAGATGGAATTGGCAGGTGGTGGTGTCCTGGTGCCTGCTGTGAGGGCCACTTTCCTAATGCTAGCTTAGTACCCTACTTCCCTCGTGCATATGTTCCTGCCCAACACTGACAACTACCTAGTGACTAATAACAAGCATCTTGGCCAGACTCCCCAAAATACTTACTGCTAATTTAGATATACCGATTCGATAGCATATTTCAGGTAGGTCTCATAGGTCAGCTAGCACTAGGGTATCTGGAAAAGCCTTGCCACAGCTGGTGTACTATGGAAGCTCACAGGCTGCTTTCATGGTAAGGCATGCTCACGAGAGACTCAATTATAAACCCTCACTAACGTAAGTCTCTAGGAATCTGACCACTGTCATGTGCCACAAGGAATTAGATGGTGTGCACTGTTCCTTTCCATATTTTGACCACATGTTACCATTCCCTCCTAGCCAAGGTCACAGAACTGTGCATAAGCTTATTCAGGCAAACTGCCTAGAAAATGGGCTTCCTATTTTATTGGGGTAAAATGTTGTTAAATGTAACAAAAACTATGCACAGTGGCTGAGCTGTCTAACTCCAGGAAGCTATTTTGTGGGATGTACTGGCAGTCTGAGACCAGTGAAAAGTAGAGGCAAACTTGCAAGGCAGAGATTGTCTTTTCAACTCAAAAGAGATGACCATAAACTTTGGTCTTTTGTACCTAACAGTACCTAGGCAGCAAGCGCTTGGAGCTGTTCCCAGGAGTAGAGCACACAGATCTTACCTGACAGGCACAATCAGATCTGTCTGAAGCCTGTGACTGACGCCGGATGACTTGACAGTCTTCATTTCTCATTTCTGAGAAGTGAGCTGCTGAATGACATGGACCCCCAGGACTGAGGTGTGTGATGCTTGGGGCTTAGAAAGCTCACTTCTTAAGTGCTCCCAGCATCCCAGTTGGGGTTCAGGCTCTGCAGCACACTCAGAAGAGCTCTTCCAGGTCTCCCTACACATTTCTGGCACTTTTCCAAAGCCCTCTTAGAAGCGTAAGTCCAAGGTTAGAATACAAGTCACCTTATGCTTTCCCTACACCAAACAGATAACTCTTACTGTTGCCCCTAATACAGGATCAATCAGAAATTCTTTAGGAAAAAGGAGACAAAAGCAAGGAAGATATAATTCTATGAAGGCTAAAGAATAAGGCAATTGTCTACTTTGAAAACAATCGAATTCTGACATAACTCAACATGGGATTTGGAAAGCTTGTTAAATCTTTTCTTGGGTAATAGTTTTAATAACATAACTAAGTTCTGGAAGTCACTATGCTAAACAATATTCCTATGTTCTGGCTAGCAAAGCAAATAGTTACCAGCTGCAGTGACCTCATAACTATCAAATCAATTACTGGTGCGAGGCAATACTACCTTTCTATAATGAAAATGGGGGTGGAGTGGGGTGGGGAGGGGTGTGAGACTTAGAAGGCTCATGGCAGGTGGAAGATGAAGGGTACAGGGAAAAGAGAAGCTAACAAGGTAGGGCAATGAGGAAACATCTCAGGACCCTGAGCACATGGCTGCCCTGCTGGAACGGCTCTGCATGGAGCTGGCACGCCACAGTGCATGCTGTGATCTCACTCACCATTCCTGGGGATTTCACACCATTTCCTTTTGTATTGCAGTTTTCAGGTGTCTCAAGGTCTCCTGTCTTTTTTATCTTTTCTTTTTCTTGTTACTTTTTGTTTGCTTGTTTGGTTTTTTACAAAACAGAGTTTCTCTTGTAGCCCTGGCTATCCTGGAACTCTCTCTGTAGACCAGGCTAGCCTCGAACTCAGAGAACCACCTGCCTCTGCCTCCCAAGTGCTGGGATTAGAGGCATGCATCACCTACATGTGGCCATTTTTTCACCTTTTCTTTTCCATCGTAACACAATGTTGAGGTTTTAAATAGCTATCATCATTAAATATCAACTTGACAATGTTCTTCATAAATCTGAATTCCTAAGTCTTTCAAAAAAACCCTTAATAGTTAACAGTAACCTTTTTATTCATTAATATTTGGTTGTCGGGGGGTAGACAAGGTCTCAGTGTTGCTGTTGGTCTTGAACTTCTGGCTCAAGTGCCTCTTGCATAACCAGGAGTACCACATAATCATCTTAGATATTTTATTTGTGTGTGTGTTCATGAACAGCATGTGTGGAGGCCAGAGGGAGACATCGGATGCTGGGCCTCACACCTGAACCCAGAGCTGGCTGATTCAGTTTCTCTAGCTACCAGATTGCTCTTGCCTCAGTTTTCCGCATGCTGAGATTATGAGCAGGTTACCATGCTGCTGGCGTTAGTGTGGGTGCTGGGATCCACACTCCTAGCCTCATGTCTGCACAGCAAACACTTTACCCACTGAGCTACCCCATGGCTCCCAGCTTAGACACTTTCTATTTTAAACTTTCTCTTTTAGTCAGATTATAAAACCAAAATTCTCTTTTCTGAATCTGCTCCAATTACCAAGTACCCAGGCGCCGGTCCCTAAGAACACAGGTTTCTTTAGCTTCTTTTCTAGTCTGCAGACACTGTTTCTACAGATTCAAGTTTAGAGCAGAAAGAACAGCACTTACCACATTAATAGGGGGTCTTTTGAAGTAAAATGGTAATTTCTCGGTTACAGTTATACAGACTAAATCCACATCTAAATGTGTGCAAGCAACCTGTCAAGAAGAAAAACTAGATTAACAGAAAACTGGCATGTGGTGGAATGAGAGACATGGCCATACCCAGCATATAGAAACATAAACAGTAGGGCTGACTCTACAGGCGGCATGACGGTTCTGTGGTGACTGTCTAATAAGCCTATTACAAGGTCAGCTGTTTACTACTCCTTCAGGCTTGGCTTTGATGGTTTAGTTCTCAAATGCTAAGGCCCGAAGGTCCTTTAATTCATAAAGCTTTTTATATATGACTGAACTGGTGACTTAAATCAGTATCTAGAATATTACTTTTAATTATTCCAGAAAGCAGCAAGTAATTGCAAACTATGTTGTTTTGGCAGAAACTCTTGGCTCCTAAAGCATCTGCCCATCCCAACTGCTCCAGCAGTCTAACTCACAAAGAACAACAGAGACTTTGCTCGGAATGAAGAAAAGTCCTGCAGAGGAATGGAGCTGAGTTAAGCATCTGTCCACTTTTAGGAGCACAGTGAAGGTCAAGACGACAAGAGCATCAATATTTCACTCCATTGTTGCTGAGGACCAGACCAGGGTGTTGAGCATGCCAAATGCTCTACCACCAAGTCACAGCCCCAGGAAACATTAACAATTCATATGTTCGTATCAGCACTATCACTTACAGAGACATATCGTATAGGGACTTTACTATATTCTATAGCTATAAATTCCACACAGACTAAAAACAATAATGCAAGAACAGTCACTGCCAGACCAATCACAAAGACAGGAAAGAGTAAAAATAGTTTCCATTTTACTTAAGTAAATTACAATCCCCTTGGTCTCTTATAGGACAGAATGTGCCAGTGTTTTAAAGGATGACGTACATTTGTAATTATGGAACTCACATACTATAAAAGACAAAAAGCATGGTGACAGGAAGGAGAGAGTGAAAAATGAGACAATGAGTTCAAGAAGTAGGTAAAAACATTTATGAAAAAATAAAAAAGAATGCTTGCGGTGGTTGCCTCTGAAGTAAACAAGCAAGAAGTGTTAGTTGGGGAAGGTATTTCTAGGAGATGCACAAGAAAGTCAGTATCGGCTGCCTCTGGAGAAATTTGAGTTTGGAAAGCATGCTTTTTATACATATACTTCTGTGGTATTTAAACTTATATTATGAACATACTTAGTTTTAGTGAAAAGATGGCTTTAAATGACTGCCCTAATAAAGCTGAACTGGCTTCCTTCTCGTCATACATTTTGTTTCTTTCTCTTTCCTATGGGGGAGGCAGCTAACCAATGGATTTGTATTGGCTGAAGGACAGGCACTGGAAAGAGCTTTCAGCCACAGAGGAGATGCATATGGGATCCTCTGACCTCTTGAGTTTAAAATGTTCCAAACTAAAGTACTTTGTGATTAACTTTCCATTCATCTAAGTGTTCAACTGGGTCACTCAAAGAACTATGTGAAGCAGGAGCACATGCCCATATTCCTAGCACTGGGGAGGCTTAATCTAATATTCCCCAAATCATTAAAACAACTTAATTATGTCTAAAATAGTTTTGGAGCTAAGTATCTCAGTTCTCTCTGAAAATTGGTAGACTGTATATGAATTCACTTTGCCATCTTTAACTTTTTTTTTGGAAGAGGCAGAGACATATATGATAGTTTAAAAAAATTGTCCCCACAAAAATGTACAAATATATGCATATTTTTGCTGCTGTGAACACAAGGCACAGGAGGGCAGGGCTCAGCATCCCTTCATCCTGGGTGTTTTACTGGTGTCAGCACTTACTATACTAGACAAGGAAAAGTCAGGCCTGCCAAGGCAGGGGGTGCCCATTGACAGTAACTCTCAACTGCACAAAATTCACCTAAAAACTATGACAGTGACTGATTCAGTAAATAAAACCTAATAATCTGCAATTGAATATTAATCCCAGATAAATCTGAAGCCAAAAGACTTAGAGGCTATCTCTTGAGAGATGCTCCCTTCGTGCAGACATTCTACAGCAGCATCCTGCAAAGGCAAGGTTTCAAAGATTTCAGGAACAGCACAAAACCAGAACTTTTTAAAGCTACTTCCCTGCCGGATATGGTGGTTGTCCTGGAACTCACTATGTAAACAAGCTGGTGTCAAATACAGAGATCCATCTGCCTCCACCTCTGAAGTGCTGGTCCACAGGTCTTTGATGATTGAATATTTGCTTCTACTCATTCCTTAATTTATAATCAAATACTGGAGAATTAATACAATCTTTCATTTCATAAAAGAAGCTACCAAAAACCAGGTGCTGTGGTGTGTGTGTTCGCACACAGGCAGCCCAGATAACCTGTGGTTCTCTGGTGTTTCCCTCTATTAACATAACTAGCAATTAACCTAGGACGTGGCACCAGTCTCCTTAGTCAATGGCTCCCTCTACTGGATAAACTTAGGGTAAAAAGAGCTGTCTATAATTTTAGTACAAATTTTGCTTAAAAGCCGGTCAGCTCTGAAAACATACATACAAGTAACATTTAAATGATATGGACTCAACAGGTTATATTTAGAAATATATATGTATTTACAAATACACATATGTATACAATAGAAATTAAAGAAGAAAGAGGACATGAATTTGAAAGAGAACGGGGAAAGGTATATGGGAGGATTTGGAGGAAGAAAAGGGAAGAGAAAAACCTAATTAAGTTATAATCTCAAAAATAAACAACAACAAAAAAGAGAATACTATAGTTAAAAGAAGAACGTGTAAAGTTAAAAAGATGTGAGACCAGTATTTTTTCCTGCAATATTACTTTGTTAGATGGATCCTTTTTGAGACTTTAAGAAAAACATTTATAATTCCATCTAAAAGTAATTATGCTTCTTTTTTCTCAGTAGTCCTTAAAAAAAGCATTCCTTAAAAGCAATCCTTAAAAGAGTATTTCAGTCTTTTTTGCCCACTGTAATCATTTGAAAGAATAGGGCATCTATCTGGAAGACAAAATGAGCTCACGTGCTAAACTCCTCTTCTAAAAAGTCAACAGGAAATTTTAATAGAATAAGAGGAATTCAATTCACAAAGGCTCTCAAGAATAGGAAGGGAAATCATATTAGCATATAGTGATTCTGAGGATTTCTGGAAAACTAAGGGCTGACACTCTCACTGGCATATATATATATATATATATATATATATATATATATATATATATGCTATATCTCAGAGCTGGCAAAGGAGAAATCTGGATCAGAGAGGTGCTTGCTTTTTTCTTCTATCAAAGGCAGGAGTAGATAAGGCCAGAAATTGAAGTGGATACTGAATACAAAGTGATAAATTTACCAAGGAGCAATTTCAAATGAACAAAGTATAGAGAAAGAAACAGGAGAAAATTCAGGAGCTCTTCCATACTGAATCCATCAAATGTCTATCAGGATGACTAAAGCCAACTGACATGCCACTTAAATCTGCCCCTATGAAACCCTATGACTTTTGAGCACAAAGAGAAAATAATAAAAGTTTCCAGATAGGGCCTCTGACAGTTGTTTCAGGAGAGAGCCGCTTATTCGTTCCCGGCTGCCCAGCCCCGAAATAATCTCACAGAAACTATATTAATTAAACCACTGCTTGGCCCATTAGCTCTAGCTTCTTATTGGCTAACTCTTACATATTAATTTAACCTATTTCTATTAATCTGTGCATCACCATGAGGTTGTGGCCTACCAGCAAAGTTTCAGCATGTCTCTCTGACTCTTCCTTTCTCCCAGCATTCACTTTAGCTTTCTCCACCTAGCTCTGTTCTTTTGTCCTATCACAGGCCAAGACAGTTTCTTTATTCATTAACCAATAAAAGCAAAATATAGAGAGAAGGACCTCCCACACCAGAAGGTTAGCTCTAATTGTAAACTTTACACAACCCAGAATCATCTGGTGTGGGAAAGTGATCACACTGACACACCCAAGAATGACAATAAGGTTTACTTTGAATCAGAAAGTGGAGCTAACTACTAGCTGACCAAAATTTGCCAGAGAGGTTTTGGAAGACAGAGGACATATAGACAGACACAGGAAGTAGTAGGGTGGGGCTTAGAAAGATGCTTGGCCCTTTTGGAAGGGGAGGGGAGAGAGAGGAGGTCACTGGTTACTCCTCCGCCACTTCTATGATCATTCAGGTTCTTTTATTACTATTATTATTTAATTAAAAATTTCCACCTCCTCCCCTCCTCTCATTTCCCTCCCACTCCCCTCATCCCCTTCCCCTCATTCAGGTTCTTAACTCAATATCTGACTCCTGAGTTTTTATTGACAAAGAATAATTAGATAAACGCTTAAACTTGGGAAGACAGTCTCAGCGAGGGACTATGTTGAACTGACCATGGATTATGAGGAATTACCTTAATTAAGACAATCAACGAGGGAAGATAGCACACTGTGGGCAGCACCATTCCCCAGTTGGGGGTGTGGTCATGGTGGTGTCTTGAAGAATGGAACAGAGTATGATCAGCAGCTGTTTGAAATTCCTGCTTTGATTTTCCATAACAATGAAAAGTAACTAATCCTTTCTCCCCTGTTGCTTTTTGTCCAGTTATGTTATTATAGCAACAGAGACAAAACTAGAACAGAGAACAGAGGCATCTACTGTGGTATAACAGCAGATTTACATTATTACATTAAAGAGAAACATTATTCTCTTTCACTGGTCACTTACATGAAAAAGTTTTTCTGTCTTTGGAAACACAGCAACAATATCATACAGCCGGACCCTTGAAGAAGTTGCTCTCTATAAGACAAAAATGAATGTTATCACACAGTAACAAAATACATAAACAGAAGCCTGGTCATCTAGCAACACTCCACATCCTCAAACTTAAACCAGTCCTGCTGCCTCAGCCTGCTGAGTGCTGGGGTCTGAGTTACCACACCTGGCTGCAAGCCCTGTGTTCACAACTGACTCAAGAGCTGACACAGAAGACTATGAACTTGAATCACTGATAGTGGCTGGATTTCCGTGACTGACCGAAGGTAACAAAGGTGGGAGCCTTTTAGGGAACAAAGGTTCTTTCTAACGTAGATTTCAAACCATTCACCTTTGGTTTTTTTAAATGTCACCTTTTTTTTTTTTAAAAAAAAAATAGAACCAAGAGTAAATGCCAAGACAGTTTTATATTGTGCAAAGTTATTAATCTATGTACGTGTGGATAAACTTTTTTCCATGACAATAAATATGACTGAGCTCTAGAAGGTACTGTAAGCTTGCAGCCTTGTGTGTATAAGAAAAGGAAACATGAAGACAGCTGGTCTCCAGTTTCCTGGAGTAAGACAGAACGTAACTTTTTATTTTACAGAGCCCATAGTTAAGAGACTGAGCAATTTTACAGAGAATTTGGATATTTTAGAGAAGATTGAACTTTGAAAAAGACTTGGGATATTTTAAAGAGACTCAATTTTAAAACTTTTTAATCATTTATGTTTTTTGTATACATTCTCTGCATGTACACCTGCAGGCCAGACAAGGGCACCAGATCCCATTAGAGAAGGCTGTGAGTTAGTCACCATGGGGTTGGTGGGAACTGAACTCAGGACCTCTGGAAGAGCAGCCAGTGCTCTTAACTCAAGTCATCTCTTCAGCCCTGTTATTTGTTTTTGAGACAGGGTTTCACTGTGTATCCTTGGTTATTCTGGAACTTGTTCTGTAGACCAGGCTGGCCTCAAACTCAAGAGATCTGCCTGCCTCTGCCTTCTGAGAGCTGAGATGAAAGGCGTGTGCCACTACTGCCTGGCAAAACTGAACTTTTAGAGTGTTGAATTTGTAAAGACTGTAGGAATGTTAAAAGTTGGAATGTTTTATATTATGATACTATTACATATGTGAGATCCCGGGGATGAACAAGATAGGAAAGTTATGGTTTAACAGTGATGTTGTGTGTTAAGTAACAGGAGGTCAACTGTGCTGGCTAATTGCATGTCACCTCGACAGCTAGAGGCATGTGGGAAGAGGAAACTTCAATAGAGAAATGCCTCTATTGGACTGGCCTGTGGGCAAGCCTGTGGTGCATTTTCTTGAATGATGATTGATGTGAGAAGGTCAGCTCGCTATGGGCAGCGCCACTCTTAGGATGGTGGTCCTGGGTGCTCTAAAAAAGCACACCGAACGAACTATGAGGAGCAAGACAGAAAGCATCATTCCTCAGGACATCCCTCCAGGTTCCTGCCTCAAGTTCCTGCCCTGGCTTTCTTTAATGAAATGGCGGACTATGATGTGAAACTGTAAACTGAAATAAACACTTTCCTGCCAAAGTTGCTTTTGGTCATGGTGTTTTATGACAACATAAATCCTAACTAGGACAGCCATCAATGGAATTAGCATTTTTCCTAGATAGAGCCAGATAAGACTATTTCACGTGTTGTGGATAATTCACATGATTGTGACACACAAGCTCACAATAAAAATTCTGCTCAATAAAATTAAAATGCCAGATGTATAAGAAAAAACTTCTGTTCTAGGAAAGGAGACTATATCAGTAAAACACAGTTATTGCTTAACAGGGAAAACCCCAAACCTGATGCTGCATATGAGAATGAAAAAATACTTTCAAAATGTACAATCCCTTAGTGCTGGAATAATGTATGGTATTTCTTCTCTGTCCATTGGCACCTTCTAACTTTTTGGAAGAGACACATTACATATAGTGGAGCTTCTACACAGAGAAAGCAGGCAGGTGTCATGGATTTGAGGCATACAGGTGGTGGGAGAACGGGGTGAGATAAAATGTGATAACGTTAGTTAACATAGTGTAGAAAGTCAAACGTAGAAAAATAATGAACTCACCAAAACATTACAGTGAGACGGATCTGTAACTATAATTGTCAATCTAGTTAAAATTTTAATCGGTCTTGATTTTCCCTACAAACAAAAATACATTATTAAAAAAAAAGCAATTGATTCATTTCCTTTTTATCAATGGAAAACAGTAAAAGTTACAAAGGACAGTGAAGATCAACAAAGCATGCTTGCCCTACAGCTATTTATAAGAGCAGAAGAAAATACTATGTACATCTAGTAAACTACACGATGAGATAATTTAATAGCTGTCGGGCTTTAGGAGGATACCTAACAAGCACTGATGGACAGTAAGAAAGTGATGAAGAGGGGAGCCCCAGTGGAAAGGTGGACCTGGTGGGAGGCGGGAGCCGCTGAAGTTAGAGAACACCTCACGAGGGTGGGCATGTCTGAATTAAACGAACAGACTCTACACTTAAAAAGTAAACCACCTACCTGTACAATTGGTAAAGTTGTGAAGAGTTCAGAAACTGCTACTGGCTTTTCAATCTCCTACAATAAACAATAAACAGGAATTCCAGCTACATGTTACAGAATAAAACACATGAAACACTTTAAGAGCATCTCAGGGGAAAAAAAGAAACTAATTTCTGGTATTCAAATTTACCAACTAGTTCTCTCTCTCTCTCTCTCTCTCTCTCTCTCTTTAAAGAAAGAAACTAAAGAGCAGAGAAGCTGCTAAGAACATCAGAAGATAAAAATAAGAACAATTTTTGAAGCCAGAAATGACCTACAAGGTACAGTTGTTTGCCTAAAAAGAAATACACATATCTTAGAGTCTAGTAAAGAGAAAAAAAATCAGTGAGTTAATAAGACCATGGCAGCAAAGTAAACAACAAGATATTGTGGTTAGAGTTCATTTACAGCAATGTAATTTTAAACATCATTGAATTTGTATGAATATATACCAGTTCAATTATTAATGTAAAATAATAAGCACAGGGTGTTTTTAAGAAATATAATTGAGGGTTGGGGATGCAGCCCAGTTGGTAGAAAATTTGGAGATTCACTGTTGTGAGATATTTGATTACACCGTGTAAAGATATGTCACTGTGATTGGTTTAATAAAAAGCTAAATGGCCAATAGCTAGGCAGGAGGTATAGGTGGGACTTCTGAGAAGAAAAAAGGGGGAGTCGCCAGCCATACTCTGAGGAAGACATGTAGGAGGAGAGGTTAAAGCCACGAGGCACACGGCAGCATGCAGATTAATAGAAATAAGAGCTAGCGAGAAACAAGCCTGAGCTAAGGCCAAGCTTTCATAATTAATAAGTCTCTGGGTCTCTATCTGGGAGATGGCAGTACAGAGAAAGACTTGCTACAATGCAGTTTAGTTGGTTGAGTGCACACAACTTTGGCATTTCATAAATTGGGCATGGGTTTGTAATCTCAGCAGCTGGAAGGCAGAGGCAGGAGGTCATCTTTGGCAACACAGTAAATTCCAGACCAGAAAACATGACTTATCCTTTACTACTAATTTAACTTGATTTAAAACGATGGGAGCAAATCTCTGTATTTCTATAATGGTATTTCCGTAAAGGATTAGCCCAGGAGGGAGGATCCACCCTGAATGCGAGCTGTGCTATTTCTTGGGTTGGGGTCCTAAGAGAACTAACTGAAAAGGAGAAAATGAGCTGAGAGCCAGTATTCATCTCCTCCTGCTTCCTGACTGAGGAAAAACTGACCAGCCACTTTATGCCCCTGCTGCCATGATGGACTGTACCTTCAAAGGAAAAGCAAAACAAACTCCTCCTGCCTTATATTGCTTTTGTCAATACAACGCTTATTTCAAGCTCCTTATTCTCGACAGACATAAATATTTGTAAATTCTTAATATTTATTAACTAATTAATCTGAGAAACCATATTTTACCTGTTTCTTGTCCTTAAAGTCAACAATATGATTGATGGCAACAACTGAATATCCAACTGAAAAAAAAAATTGAGTATTTAAAAAATAGTCTTTCTTGTTCACAATGATGATCCCAATCTTAGATTTAGGAGTATGAGATGAGGTTCGGGATGTAGCTAACTGTTAGAATGCTTGCTTAGCATACAAGAAGCCCTGGGTTCTAGTTCCAGACCTGGAAAATAAGTGGGTGGGGCAGGAGGCAAATCTAAGCACTACCGTTTACTATTACTTAAGGTTTCAGGTTCTTCACCTGCCAACCGATGTTAATAGCAGACAGAACTTTCAAGTGTCATGAAAATTCAACCGATGTTAATAGCAGACAGAACTTTCAAGTGTCATGAAAATTAAGTTCAATAGCCCTTGCATTTTAGGAGAGTGCCAGGCACATATTCAGGCTCTGATTTATGTTCACACGATACTAAAATGCCACACAACATTCCCGGGATTTCCTGTCTCTGTTCATTTTCATTCCATCAAGTTTATGTGACTTTCTGTCATCTCCATTACCATTCATTTCTTCTGCGATGCTCTATTTCCTCTCTTTCCTAATGCACAACGGAGGAATGACTCCCTTATACCTCTTTGGGGTGCTCTACAGTAATGGGCAGGGAACAAACTAGGGGTTTGCCTTATCCCAACAGTTAGCGCTGTGTGAACAAGTGTGATGAGTGTCTCTGTCTCCCTACATCTAAATCACACCTCCTGTCTTTTAAGTTGTCTAAATACTTAGGGATGATAAGGTATTAGCATTAAAAGATAATGCTAGGTAATGACAAAATAGCGGTCCTTCCTCTTATCACCTAGTCCGGTAACTCCCTAGTTTCCTTCCTCTCAAAGGTATTTGAGCATCCGTCATTTGACAGGCCCTATCCCAGGTGAGAGCACACAAGAGCAATGCTCACCCTGAAGGAACTTTCAACGTATGAGAGAAATAAGGTAATAGCCTCCCCATTCTCTAAGCTTCCACAGCAGTTCTTGCCTGTGACCCTGTTTTCTGTATCTGACAGATGTCGTGTGAGTCAAAAAGGACTGATATTAAAAACACCGGCTTGGGGGGTGGGGGTGGGGGCTGTACACCTGGAGTCCAGTCCCAGTTTCTACCATCCATCACTCCACAGGCCCCGTGCCAATCCCTCGGCCGCTTTGGCCTCTGTTCTCTCCCTCTGAGCGAAAGTCGGGGCAAGCACAAGCAACAGCAGCTTCTTCAGGAGCCTGTGAGTCTCCCACGCCGGGGATCCGGGAGACACGGCAGGCATCTTCTGCTTCTATGGAAATCAGGCAGACCCCACGAGAGACAGAAATGGCGCCTGGAGAAACTACCGAGAAAACTGGATGGTATGAGGGATAGCGAGGGCAGGGCTCGGACGCGAAGATAACAGACTCACGGTGAGCAGCGGTCTCCACCAGCCCGCGCAGAGCCTTCAGGTCCGAGCCCGCTCTTATGTCCAAATCTGCGAAGGCAGCCATGCTGACGACCCAGGAGCACCCGCGCGCCAATCTGCGCAGCCACTGTGTTCCTCCTCGAGCATGCTGGGAGTTGTAGGCTGTCACTTGGGCATCCTGGGATTTGTTGTTTTTCCTTCTAAGTAGTCTAGTCTCAGAGACTACCTTACTCTCTAGGAATCGATCTAAATTAGTGTGCTCGAACCTACAGCTTCACTTATTCCCTTTTGGTCGTGATTTGAACGAGGATATTTGGTAGACGCTGTAGGGGCTCCCCCATGAGCCTGCCATACAACAGTGTAGAAAATGATTCATTCTGAATACACCCATTCTGAGATCAAGCAGATGATCTTTAAGATCTTGAAGTCCTGTTTAAAGCTCTGGGAGAGCCTGGTGTGGTGGTGCACGCCTTCAATCCCAGTGAGACAACTCTGTGAGATCAAGGCCGTCCTGATCTACACGGCGAATTCCATGCTAGTGTGGGCTACATAATCTCCCGAGTAGATAAATTGGTAAATAAATAATGAGACAGGGGAACTGTTTTTCTTTTTGTTCTCTAATGTACTTTCCATTTTTTGAAAATGGACTTAAAAGCCCCCTTGAAGCACTTGCTCTGGGGCTAAGATTGTTTTAACTCTTTGGGCTAAGTCTAAGAAAAGGGGCATCTGTTACAGCTGACATCTACAACACAAGACGGCAGGGTGCTCTCAATGATGAAGGCTTTGCACCAGCGTGTTTTTTTTTTTTTTTTTTTTTTTTTTGTGCCAGAAATCTGACAGGAAGGAGAAAAACTAAAAACAATTTTTACAAATTTTTATGAGAAATACACAAATATCATTTGATGTTTCTTCTTTAAAAATTTACTCTTGAGCCGGGCGGTGGTGGCGCATGCCTTTAATGCCAGCACTCGGGAGGCAGAGGCAGGCGGATCTCTGTGAGTTCAAGGCCAGCCTGGTCTAGAAGAGCTAGTTCCAGGACAGGAACCAAAAAGCTACGGAGAAACCCTGTCTCGAAAATTAAAAAAAAAAAAATTTACTCTTGAATATTGACAGATCAGTTACCCAACAATATAAAATGCTGGCATAGTTTTCAGTCTACTTGATTCCGAAGGCCAGTCTTTTACTCCTTTCCTCTCAGTCTCTAGTTGGCCAGCGTGTGAAACCTTTATACATTACCAAAGAGCACCTCCAGCCTTGTGCGGCTCAATAATATGATATCTGAATCGTTGGGTTCTCAGTTAACAAAAGTTCACCAATCAGGAACTTGTCCATCAGGACAATGACAAAGTGCTGAAAATGTTTAGAAACATTTTTAGTTTCTGTACTGATCACAAACAATATGTAGACTTCCCCATCTTACTACATTTTAGGTAATACTCCTCAACATAACGGTCTCTAATTTCATAAAGATTATTATTATTATTTTGAAATGGGGTCTTATTAGTAGCCTAGGGTGAACTCGAATTCACAATCTTGCCTCAGCATCCTAAGAGTTGGGATTGCAGCTGTGCATTGTCACAACTAGTTTTGGTTAATTTTCATAAAGAAGAAAATATCTGGTTGTTTCTAACACTTTATATTCCCCTAAACAAAACAACTTCTGCCACTATAGCAAGGCCATACAAAACAAACCCCTTGCTTTTCATCCGAATGTCTAGTGCTAACTTTTGTAGGGATGGAGAGGCATCTTCTTATATGATCGCAAAATCTAGATTGGTCAGAAGTAATGTAGTGGACGTAGAGAAGATTAAGAGCTTGAATTTTTCGATGCTAAGATTAGGTCGAAGAGGACACATTTGATTTAAAATCATGGTGATGTTGCTCTGGACTTCACCGCTTAGAATCCCTTTGCTTTATACTCCAAGCTTAGCTGAAAAGAAGGGGAAAGGGTGAGAAATAAAGCAAACAGATAGAAATCATTGAGCGCTATGGGACAGACCATCTGCACGTACTTCTGTGTGTGTGTTATTAATTTTCTTTCTTTCTTTTTTTTTTTTTGTTTTTTTTTTTTTTTTTCGAGACAGGATTTCTCTGTGGCTTTGGAGCCTGTCCTGGAACTAGCTCTGTAGACCAGGCTGGTCTCGAACTCACAGAGATCCGCCTGCCTCTGCCTCCCGAGTGCTGGGATTAAAGGCGTGTACCACCATCGCCCGGCTTGTTATTAATTTTCAAAGCAATTAAGTTTTGTGTGGAGGCCTGAAATCATGAGCCTATTTCCACGTTGACCAAGTCAGAGAGTTGGGACTTTCCTCTAGTTCTTTCAAGGTTTGGTGTTTCTATCTCAAAACAAAGGTCCCACCTAGCTGTTGGTCAGAGAGTTCTGCTCTCTCAAGGTTATTGTCATCAGGTGTGGCTGATAGCCAGACTTTGTGCTCCAGGAATAAAGAAGTATATCTGTTCCTACCTCAAACAAAAGTCTAAGGATCCAACTAAGTTCCAGTTCCCACCCAGAGAGTGGTTTGCCTACAGATTGTTTTGGTCTAGGGTGTAAGTGTGACTCGCTTTGTTCTAGCATCAGAATGTTTAACTATGAAGTAGCGTGAGACTTTCAATTGGTATGTTCATTTCCTTGTGTCGTGTTAATGCAGTTTTTTTTTTCTTACTCCTACCTTTAGGGGTCAAGGTATTTCAAGCCGTTGGAAATTAAACAGGGGCAAATTTTCAGACTCACTGGAATTCCCTCCTGATACTATTCTATATATTTCTGTTTTATTATTTTCATTCACATCTTCATATTCTTTACCATATTTCTAATCCCCACACCATTACCCTGGCGAGAGGTATTTTTGTCATGGCTGGTCCCCGACAGTATTGTTTTTTTTTTTTGTTTTTTGTTTGTTTTTTAACATTTGAGCACCTGAAGGTTTGGCAATATAATGGTGGACTGAAGCATTTTGGCTCAGTTGCTGCTTAGAGTACTGTCTCCTGAGAAAAGCAAGCAGAGAGGACAGTTGTGGATGACAGGCAAAGGAGAGAAGAGAACAAGAAAGAAAGGAGAGAGGAAGCAGGGAGTGGGAAGGAAGTAAAAGGAGGTAGAGGAGGAGGCAGGATTGAAAAGATGGAAAATGATGGGATAGGGAAATGACAGGGAATAAAAGGTCAAATGTTGGCCTGCATGGGTGGCAGAGGCAACAAAGATGCAGTTGGAAGAAAACATTAGAAATTCTGAATGGAGGCAGGCGGTGGTGACACACGCCTTTAATCCCAGCACTGGGAGGCAGAGGCAGGCAGATTTTCATAAGTTCGAGGCCAGGTTGGTCTACAGAGCTAGTTCCAGGACTGGCTCCAAAGCTACAGAGAAACCCTGTCTTGAAAAACCAAGAAAAAAAAAGAAAGAAAAAAATTAAATAAATTCCTGAATGGAACACAACTGTACTGTGCTCTTGCTGGTTTTATTATCAAAAGAAGTCCAAAGGGGTGGTGGTGGTGTGAAGATGATGTTGCTGTTGTTGTTGGTGTGCTGATTGCGGTGGTGTGGTGATGGTGATTGTGGTGGTCGTCATGGTGGTTGTGGTGGTGGTGGTTCCTGTTATCCTGGCTTTAAGATAATGGATACTAGATAATTTTCTCTTCCGTAGTGGAACTTAGTGTCATGTCCAAAAGAAACTGGGAGCAAATGGCTAATAGTGGTGCCTGTTAGCATACCGAAATGCATGCTGGCCTCCAGACTGTCTCAGCATCTCAAGTAACCAGTTACAGAGTCCACCCTACCCTCTGCCCTAAACTTGTCCAGCTCCTGGGCTTCCCTGTGACAGTGAATAGTGTGTTCTCAATGTAAACCCTATTGTACTTAAAGAATCCATGAGAAAAATGCTTCAGTTTGTAAGCTGCTAGTTTGTGAAATGCACCATCACATCTTGCTCAAGATAGATAGCTCCTGGAGTGGAATAGCTGAGCTAATCTTAAGAAACTGTCTATCCTTGTAAATTTTACTGCCTCTGTTGTTCTTGCAAGACAATGGGTCCTGGGACTAATCTATAATTTTGCTTCTATAAAGACTGTTTCCTTGATGGAGACTGTTAAGTATTTTCTCTTAGGCGAGCCTCTCCGCCAGCACAAATAATCCCGATCATACCTTATCAGACCAAATTAAAAGATGCCCATGTTTAATGGAGAAAACATGGAGGGGCTGGAGAGATGGCTCAGTGGTTAAGAACATTGCCTGCTCTTCCAAAGGTCCTGAGTTCAATTCCCAGCAACCACATGGTGGCTCACAACCATCTGTAATGAGGTCTGGTGCCCTCTTCTGGCCTACAGGCATACACACAGATAGAATATTGTATACATAATAAATAAATAAATATTTTTAAAAAAAAGAAAAAAAAGAAAACATGGAGAGGGAGAGGGAGAGAGAGAGAGAACAGGGAAGACCACACGAAACCCAGAGATCATGTGTTTATTCTCTGGGGGGCAGTTTAAATAGCCTGTGGGAGTAGTCTTGACCTTTCCTGGGGAGGAGTCACCATCTGCCAGCTTTCTCAGAGGTGGAGTTTGGATAGAGGCAACTCCCAGGGGAGGGAGCTTATTCACGAGCTGGGGTGAAGCCCTGAGCCAAATAGAGATAATGGAGACATCTATAGGATGTTTGTTGTGGTACAATGGTCTTTTATCCTGTGACTTGTATTATTTTTAATAACATGCTGATTGGTCAGTAGTCAGGCAGGAAGTATAGGTGGAACAACCAGACAGGAAGTAGAGGCAGGGCTACAAGAACAGGAAAATTTTGGGAAGAGCAAAGCTCAGTCTACAGTCACAGACACAGAGGAAGCAAGATGCGACTGCCTTGCTGAAAAAGGTATCAAGCCACATGGCTAACACAGACAAGAATCATGGGCTAATATAAGTTATAACAGTTAATAAGGAGCCTGAACTACTAGGCCAATCAGTTTATAATTAATGTAGGCCTCTGTGCGTTTATTTGGGACTAAACAGATGTGGGACCCGGTGGGACAGAATCCTCTGTCACCAGGGTGTCTGTTGTAAAAGTTAGGCATCACCGGATGTGTAAGTTTGTGGTTTCTGCCTTTATAAACACAGGGCAAATATGACTAGGTG